CAGACCCCCGCAGCCCACAAGGACCGCAGCGCCCCACGACGGCCCCCATCACGGAGAGCAAGCACTGATTTCCGAAGCGCACGACGCCAAACAGTGTGCCCCTGGTTGTCGGGGAAATGGGCCAGGACCCTCGCAACCTGCCATCTTCGAATTCCCTGCTCCAGAAAAATGCGCACGTCCTGAGGACATACACGGAGCAGGTCGATGGGCCAGCCCTCGTCGCTCACTAAGGTGGTGGGTCCTGACATTGACCAACCTATCCGAAGGAGCGTATACCAAACCGAAGAAATAGGACCCCTGGCAAACTTCCACGCTGGATTGTGCTGAATTCTGTCTTTGATCGCGAGCCAAGCTCGAGCAAGACGTGAAGGAACGACCCTGGCTTCCCAGACACAAGTAGCAAACCTCACAACAAGCGGAACCGAAGCATCGAACACAGGGTCGAACCTATCGTCCTTTTGCGTGCATAGATAGGTAGTGAGGCAGGACTTGGGCTTAGCTCCTACCATCCCTCCCGCAAACGTACGCAGCTCGCGGAGAGAAACATCGGACACACCGCTAACGCCACCTCCGTGGCTGGCTGCTGGGAGGAGCCCCGTTCGCCAAAGGGCCTTGACGGCCTCAGGTTGAGCCTGACGGAGCCCCCAGACTTTACGCCTCTTGGACTGCAAGACTCGAAGTCGGGCCTTCTCTTGGACCCGCAGAACCTTGACTCCGTGCATCTCGTGCCCTAGATTACGCATGCCGTGCTTGCTGCGAAAACCTAGCTGCGAAATGTGCCGTGCGAATGTGTCACGGGCGGCACAAGTGTTGGCCACAAACCCACTCTTATTCGCCTGCACACGCAATCCGAGGGGGGCAATGTCATGGCAGAAAGACTGAACCGCCTGCGCAAGCACATGTGAGCTCTCTCCTGGATCTTTGCCTTGGCGGCGTTTGCCCACCCAGTTAAAACTCACGTCATCCATCAGGTCCCTGGGTTCCACAGATGGGAATCGCTCCACCGACATGTTCAAACTTCTATATAGAAGCACCGTGAGCAGAGTGGTGGCTAGAGAACACCCAGCTAAGATCCCTTGGGCCGTGGAAACCGAGTACGACACACTACCGAAGGCTCTAAGGGCTCTAGGCTGGGTGTAGTTCTGGATGGCCATCCAGGCCAGACGGAGCGGGAACCCTGTGGCCTTGGCCTCCCTCACGAGGGCCTGGAGGTCTACACATTCATAACATTTCACCATGTCTATGAAAACAGTAACACAATCCTCTCGCAATTCGTGCGCAATCTCCGAAGCTAAATTTAAAGAGAAGGCGCTGTCACAGGACGATCGCCCTGGACCTGTCCCCCACACCGTGGGATGCGCGTGGTCACGCTCCCAGGCGACCGCTGTTGGACGGCGAACACGTCCCCAAATCCGAGTGAGGGTGTGCATTAGGGCGATCAGCCTGCAGCCGCCTGTGGACTTCGGAATACGCACAAGCTGAGTAAGTATGCGAGACGACGGCCAAATCAGAAGCTTTTCACATCGCATGAACAAGCGCGCCAGCGACTCCAGGCCGGCGTCCGAAACGAACCAGAACGCGCGGGGCGCGAACTCGAAGTGCCCGATGCCCGTGGTCCAGGGGAACTGCAGGATCGCACGCTTGATATCGTCCAGGGATATATGTGGTAGGTCGTCCCACTGCTCAGATGCGTGAGGTACTGGCTCAGGAAGATCATGCATGTGCCATATGGCGTCCCACTCTCGCATAGCTCTGTCCGCCATCTTGAATGGCTGCGCCTCCGAACCAGGGAGCAGGCAGGCAGCACAAACTTCCTGAAGAGCACGGCTTCGAGTGTGACGGTGTGCGAAACGACCTCCACCTTTGAACGACGAAGCCGCCCACTCTCGCCAACACGCCAAGGCTGTGTCATTCTGGCGCTTCTGGCACTCGTCCGCTCGACCGATGATGCTCTCAATCATGTCATTCGTACGACCACTGGTGACGAAACCGATGTCCATGTCGAAGAAGTTCCGAGCGTCATCATCCAAGGCGTCGCGTAAAGGATCGTTGCGAATCCTTGTCATGAACTTGGTGATGTCCACTAGCATACGAGCAAACTTGTCGAAAGCCTTGCTGGACATCGTACCCGCCCGCTCCTGATGGCATAGCAGCACAGCCTGATTGACAAGGCTCTCCTTGTAGCGGCGTAAATGGCGGGCCCATCGGCCTGCTGCTCTCCAAGCTCTGTCTCGTGTTGTCTGCTCACCTCTGCGCCTAGGCGGCTCCCACCGCAACTTAGCATACTGCATTTGGGTGTCTCCGCCTCTGCCTCGGTAAGCCTCAGTGTGAGATCCGACAATATCATATCTGGCAAGCAACTCAATCTCCAACTGTGCCAAGACTGCGTCCCATGCTGCACTCAATGTGGGATTATCAATCGCTTGATCAATAATACGATTGACCTGGCACCAGTTCAAAGGGTATCTAGAGCACCCAGGCTTCGGCTGTCTCGAAGGGCGCTTCGGGCTGACCAACGTGCGAGTCTTCAAAACAACATCCTTCCCCATGATAGGTAATACCACTGGCAGGTGTGGGAATGTGTCTCCATTTTCCTGCACATACGGGCGGCACGTTCTGGGGAGCAGATTGGTGGTCATCAGGAAATAGTCTATCGTCCTGCCTGGCAACGACTGCCTGCACGTCGAAACTGATGGGCGCGTCAACACACCTCCCAGTCCATACAACCATTCCATGTCTCCGAACTCGGCCTGCTCCAGGTTGAAGTCTCCCGCGACGATCCAATCAAGACCCATCGCGTTGACAATTTCAATGTATTCACAGATCTCTGCCAAGATGCGAACGTTATTATCAGAGAGGCCTTCATTCACATAAAGATATGTTGAAATCACAATGAATCCTCCAGGCACCCCCCAATGGACGTGGGCTGCCAGCGCTCTCCCATTCGCCATGTGGGGCGTCGAGCGCCCTGGGGGGGCCGTGACCAGCACGTCTCCCTTCGCCAGGATGGCCAGGCCCGCCTGAGTGCCCTCCTGGTTGCCCGTCTTGGTGGCCGAGCTCCAGACTCCATGCCAGCCAGGGTCCAGAGCTCGATGCTGCAGATCTGGAAGACGATCCTCTGCGACGTGGTGCTCTTGTATAGCCACCACAGTGTGCTCGCAGGAGTCGAGGAAGCGCAATAGCTGGCCCTCCTCAGAGCAATTGAAAGTCACAGTAGAACCCTTGCGGTCAGGAACATGATTACCATCTTCATCTGCACCTGTGTGAGAAAAGGGGAATGGGCGGCCCCAAGCGTCATCCTTGCCATCACCTCCGCCAGTCGTCCCAGCTGGAAGCCCAGCAGATCCGATGCCTGAGCAAACCTCCCCGTAGTCGTTGCCGCCCAGACGGCCTCCGCGGTCTTCCTCGTCATCACCTCGGCCAGTATTCCCAAACGGTGGCTCGCTGCGGTCTCCCGCTGCTATGCTGCGGTCTCCCGCTGCACTGCCGAGAGCCTCGGCGCGAAGCCAGTGCCCAGCAGATCCGATGCCTGAGCAAACCTCCCCGTAGTCGTTGCCGCCCAGACGGCCTCCGCGGTCTTCCTCGTCATCACCTCGGCCAGTATTCCCAACCTGAAGCCCGACAGATCCGACCGCAGAGCAAGCCGCCTGGGAGCCAGAGGCAGCAGCAGGCCCCTGCCCTGCTCGTCGAGGAAGCAGTACGTCTCGATCGGCCGCAGACGGGCCGACCTTGCTGGAGGCCTTGCCTCGGCGCTGGCGCGCTCTCGCCTTAGTCAAGGCCTGCTCGCGCGCTCCAACGCGCTCCAGCAGCTGGGCCCTCCGCATGCTGCGGGCAGCGCTGGCCTCGGCCAGGGCCGCGGGAGAGCGGCTGGAGCCTGCCGCCGCCGACGCTTGCCCGAACAGCGGGTTGGCATCCAGCCCTCCAGCAACCGTGCCGATGGTGCCAGATGCCCTTGCCAGCGGCAGGAGCGCCAGGAGCAGCAGCGCGCGCAGCAGGCTAGGCAGCAGACAGCACCTTGGCCCTCTTGACCTCGCGCCAGCCGCCCAGCGCGTCGGTGATCTTGCGCTCCTGGCCGCGGAGCTCCTCGCACTCCTGGGACGGGTCCACGCCCGAGCTGGAGAGGAACTCGCGCAGCTCCTCCTCGGTCGCCGTGTCGGGGTCTGGGAGG